GAACCACTTAATCAGAATTGAAAAAATCTGAAGGAACTTTGCCTAAGATGGCTGCAGCAGTGAGAGGTTTACCACGGATGCTTAACAAAAAATAAGCCATAATCATGATGGAGAGATCACACGTGTCTTTTCATGGCAAGTGTCAAAATCAGTATACCCAGCAACAAGCAGCAGCACAAAGTTACAATTAAATATATGACAGCTACTGCATATATTGTGACAATTCAGCATTTAAAAAAAATCTACTGATGAACACACACTATCAATATACATCTTGTTTTTTATAAACCCTCTTTAAAACGTTTTCCAGCATAAACACTGACCCAGTCTTAATGAGGGTTAAGATTCAGGTTCAGCTGTCCACAATGAATGGACGTCAATGCAAAGTCCAAACAGTGAAAGCTGCGCAGGTGTGAGAACTTGAGCAGATATCTTTGTGAGGACCACTCTGGACCTACGGAGGGAAAGTGACAACATTTTGATTGTCCTCTCTTTCTGACCCACGTTGAATGGGCTCTTCGAGGGTTAGGACTTGGTTATGTTTAGGGTTTGAAATAGGTCTGGCATTTAGTTGTTAGGTTGAGGGGATAGGAAGTGCATTATACCAGTGAGTGTCCTATCTAAGACAGAAGTACGTTGTGTGTGCATCAAAGAACCACTCAACCTGTGAGAGGTGAATAGAAGAGATCTTGTGACCTCTACTGGACAGCGGCAGTAAAACCTAAGATAAGAATATTCACTTCTTCGCAGGACAGACTTGAGACGACAAATTAGACAATAACTTAATCTTCACATTTCTTTCTTACCAGTTTTAAAGTTTGCATATTCAACATTTAATAAAATCTACAAGATCAATATAAGAAAACATAAGAGAAGGAAAACATGGAGATTTCAACTTTAATCACATTATTAACAATTCTATGAGCAATGTACAGACTGAGCCCTGCCATCCGTTGAGCTAGATACAGTATCTGTTGTTTTTTTAACAAAGGGAATAGTAACCATGTCCCTACAGGATAACCTTTCCTTCTGTGAAGAGTTTATCTCACACATACACACAATGATCAACTGACTTACTTGGCACCCAGGCCAGTGTTTCTGTAGCTTGTTTGCTACACAAGTATCAGACAGACACATGAGCAGACATGTGGACGAGCAAACAGCGGGGCGGCCGTATGTGCAGGCTGTGCGCCTGGAAAGTTCAGTCTGAGTCTTACCGCCCCACCTGACGCTGCTGAGAGACCAGATTCATGTCAGAAGGCATTTCTTTGTTTTCTCTCTTGTTTGTTGTGTAAAAAAAACAAAAAAACAACTGAAATAATACAATGAAGGACGAAGTGCTTGAGCAGCACTGGTGAAAACGTGGCCACGAAGGTCTACTCTAAAACCACAGTTCCGCCTGCCGCCTCCAGGGCCGCTTTCAGTTTCTCAGCCTCTTCTTTGGATACGTTGGCCCGGATTTCCTGGGGAAGAGACTCCACTAGTTTCTTAGCCTGGTATAGGAAAGAGAGAAAAAACATTTGGTTACAAACACCAGGACTCAAACAGATCATATAACTTTTAAAAGAGGGACCAATATCGGTTTTAGAAACAGTATTTACAGCCTCATTAAACTCAAATCTTTGTCTAAATACCTCAAAATATAATTTGACCAAATAGAAAACTAGAAAAGTTGCCCGAGGAGGCATACAGTGATTTGTATTTGGTCTATTTTGGTGCAGTACTGCAGTGTGCAGGCTTAAGACCTTGGATTCGATCTTTATCACAATTAAATGTCAGTTTATTATTTTCATGCTCAATAAAACTATAGTTTATTTTATAGCTTAGCTTCAAAGGCAATTTTAAGTTATCATTGCTCTTTATTGCCTGGTCAAACTCCGATATCTGACTTTCAGACATTCAAGCAAAAATAAATTCATATTGTTTTTGTCGTATCTGCTTTGTGTTTGTCACAATGAAAACTAATAGAGCACTGTCTCACATCGACCGCCCCTTGCAACTCATAGCAAATACTGCTCTAGAACACTGTCTAACAAAACGGGCTATTGTTTCATTATTATTACGATACCTTTCCGGAACACATAGTTATTTTAAATGACTCGGAACCGGACTGATCTCTAATGATGAGTCTTACCTGAACCAGATTCAAGCCTTGCATGCAGTTCTTCACTTCCTTTATAAGTTTGACTTTCTCAGCCCCCTTTAATTCCGTCAATTTTACTGTGAAGTGAGTTTTCTCTTTCTTGACCGGTGCTTCCTCCTCTTCTGTGGCCTAGTTACACACAAGGGGGAGGAGATGCATTTGAATTTGTGCATTAGGAAACATGACAGTTACAATTCTCTGACACTCATTTAATGGGCCTTTACATTTTGGCATGAAAATGATGAAGAAACTGATTTGACTTAATTTGGACTGTGTGGTGGTGTATTTCATTGTAAATAATTAATGTATAGTTGTGATAATTCTCACCTGAGCCAAAGGCATAGCTGACGCAGCCATCGGCATCATTCCAACATCCTGAATGTTTAGAGTTTTCTATGATCACAAAGAGAGGAAAGAATTACTCAACATGAAAACATATGGATCACAGCATCCATCTGAAGAGACCATCATGTGGTTCAAACTTTTTCCCCACTAACCTTGAGGAGCTCGTTGAGGTCCGACACCTCTAACAAAGTGAGGCTGGATATGTCGTTAACAAGCTGTTGGATTTTGGGGGAATACTGTTTGGGTGCTCCATCTAACGGAGGAACGGCGATGGCATCTGAATGGGTGGGCGGGCTGGTCTTCAGAAGTCTGAGAGCACACAGGGCCGGGGTCTGCCGCTGAAGGTGTTGCCTAGAAAAGAAAAATTGAATTAGCTGATGTTCTCGGACACAGGACACATAACCAGCGTGTAGAGGCATCTGGCATCAGGATACATTCAAACTGTGTTCAGACTATCCAGAAAGTATTTAGCCCCACCAGGTAAATTCTGTGTTACCAGGATTACACAAAAATGGAGGGATGGAACCAGGGAAGAGCCTGTTAAACATTGATGCAGGTGATATATCCATTCATTAACTTTGATTAACATTGCAAAATTGGAAATTTTTCATGATTATCGTTAATTGTTCAGGAAACAATGCACAGATTAGGGCCGAACATTCTGGTGAAAATTTACATTAAAATAAAAAATATTAATATCAGTCATTTATCACGTTAAATACAAGCATTTGCTCCTGAGTGAAGGTGATGGTTTAAAAAGACAAACACTTCGATAAAGAGCTGAATCTGTGGTTGTGTGTTTGACTTCCTGACTGTATTTGGACAATGCATAAGTTCTGTGACACACAGACGAAGGGGAAGATGCATGTTGAGGTTATTCAAGCACAACGAACACGGATCTCTCGTAGCTCGACTGTGACCTTGGCTGTCAGGAGCTGCCTCATCCCACCATGAGGAGGCTAACAGCTACAACGTGAAGTTTCCTTTGATTCCTCTTTAAAACGAGCTAATAACCAGGACATGTTTCATTGGTCTACTTGCTGGTGTTGCATGGTCATGTGTTAAAGTCTGAGGGGGTGAAGTCACTAAGCTAACGTTAGCTCATCTACTTCACGTACACACGGTTAGCTTCTTCATACAAAACACAGTATTCACAGCAGCGACACGCTCAACAACCAGAAACAGCGGCGGCACAGAGTGAGTGAGTGTGTGTGTGTGTGTGTGTGTGTGTGTCTGCCCTTGAAGCAGCAGGACAGACGGACACGGATGATCCGTTACCGCCGCTGCTGCTGCAGCAGCACCGGTGTTACGTGACCGGCTCCTGCCCGCCCGGGGAGCACGTCCCGTACCTGTGAGTGTTCGCCGCGGCCCGCAGCGCGGTCCGGAGGCAGCGTGTGGAGCAGTACATGCTGACCGAGAGCTGGAGCCGTTCGTCCCGGGGGCCTGGAGAATGCGGGCCGAGTTTAAAGCTGACAGGTCTCCTTCTGGGTCCGCTGCTTCAAAAGCACATGGCGTCCTGACCTACCCAGAATGCCCTGCGTGAACTGTTAGAGTGACTACGGCAGCCCATAAGGGACACGCGATAAATAAATAAATAAATATGAGTGCGCATGAGAATATTATAATAGTTACAGATGCTGACAAAGTTTAATGATTTGAAGTAAATCAGATATTATTGCTTTTTAAACTTTAAACACCGGAAACTGATTAAGTCAAGTAGTTCAATTTGTTTATAATAATTTAATTGTTAATAATGTGAATAAAATTGAAATCTCTATATTTTCCTTCTCTTATGTTTTCTTACATAGATCTCAGTTAGTTTTTTTGGAAAATGTTGAATATGCAAAACTGATAATAAGTGATAAGTATATACATTTCAATTATTAATTTGCAAATTAAAAAACAGAAAATGTGTTTCAGAGAGATTACACTATGGTTGAATATTAAAATCCAATGAACACAAGGAAATATCATAGCTACACAGACATGAATAATACGATATAAATATATGAGTAAAAGCACAGAATGTCTTGAAAAATTGTAAACACAACACAGAGAGGTAAATACCAACACATGATACACAAAGAGTCATGTCAAGGTTGTTGAATTTTTTTGTAAAGCACATTTGAAACAACCAGAGTTGATGTTGATTACATCATTATTCAGGAAAATGTTCAATCAGGTTTGTGGAGCTGCAGAGGTGGTATTTACTTAATTGCATTTTAAATATGTTTTGTCAAAAACCCTAAAAAGTACAAATACAAATTTTCCCTTTCACATGTTTGATTTTTGACACCACTGTAATGCTGCTTTTCTCCATTTCCCATTCCTACTTTGTCATTCTGATATTACTTCTCACAAGCCTGGTTGTAAATCTTATGATACACCCACATACAGTTAACATTTCATGACAGTAGTTGCTACATAATATGCAGACACAAATGTATTGTGTGAATTTAACTGAACTGTGTGTCTCTGTTTTCTTCTGGACCCTGAGGAGGAGCACAGAGCAAATCCTCTTAACCATGTAATCTCTGCCACCATCTGCTGTCAGTCATCCGCCACATCCAGCCGCCACCGTTATGCCATTTCCCAGCTAATTTCTGTCAACCGGCACGAGTGAAGGTAAGAGGGAGAGAGGAAATCAATAAATCGGCTTGTGGTGTACAATAAACGTGAGTGAGATGTTTTCCTGCTTCTGCCTCGTTCCTTCAGATCATGCTGCTGTCTCCTCAGGCAGAAAGGAACTGGGAGGGTCTGTGTTCAATGCTTGAAGATGTGTTGGAGGACCAGTCCCACAGACAACTGTTCGCCTTAGAGCTGGGCTCTGGAACCGGGCAGCATGTGATACGCTTTGCCCAGAAGATGCCCTTTGTCACCTGGCAGCCATCAGACATTAAGGAGGAGTCTCGAGACAGGTTCAGTCGTTATGCTGTTTTATGTGCCCCAGACAGAGAGAAAATGAAAACTGTGTTATAAGCTTCAGGAGACAGGTTGAGCTCTTTCAAGTCCCTAGAGTAAGATTGATTTATGGGAATCTAACAAATTGAGATGCTAAAATGTCATATTACTTGTTCACAGTATCAAGGCCTACATTGCTGCGACCCATGCCAAGACGATTCTACAGCCTGTCCACCTAGATGCCAGCGAACCGTGGGAGAAATGGGCCGGCCTTCCTCGCAGCTCCTGTGATGTTATTATTGCCATTAACTTGCTGCAGTACAGCTCCTTCAAAACAGCACAGGTAAGTCTGGTGATCTAACAACTGAAGATGTTGAGCTAAGAGGCGATGAACTAATGATGCTGTGCCCCAGTGTTCCATTCATGGAACAGAATCTAAAAAAGTTTCAAATGAGCCAATACCTGTTTCTGTTGTTTTCTAAGGGTGTTTTTAGTGGAGCAGGTCAGATCCTCAAACAAAATGGCCTTCTGATAACATATGGGGTATGTAAAAAGTATATTAAGCCTTTAGTGCGAAAGTATTTAAAGATTTTTTTTTAAATGCAGCTGATTTTAAAAACAGCCTGTTAAGACTTCCAAATCTTTGTTTCAGGTGTATGCTATCAATGGCACAGTTACACCGAGCTGCAATGAACACCTGGATGAAGAGATTAGAAAAATGTGAGTGGGAATTTATTTCACTACGACATAACAACAAGTGTTGTTTTGTCTGATGTTGAGAGACTGATGTGTTTTATTCTGTTACACAGGAACCCAGAGTGGGGTCTTCCAGACATGGATGTACTGAGACAACTGGCCTTTGGGAACGGGATGCGTATGGAGAGGATTGTGAGTGGTTTATTGTAGCTGGTGGTAATTACTTTGTAATAACCATGATGTTGCTGTTACACCTGTAACGTCTTATTTCCAGATCGAGATGGAAGAATACTACAAATGCCTCATCTTCAGAAAACTTTAAGAAAAAGCCAAACTGCACAAAGGAGATTTTAAAATGTTCTTATTAGTTAACTGTAAAGCTCAATTTATATGAACATTGTATTGACATTAATAAAGTTTGTCAAACCATTTATGTCTGTGTCAGAATACAGAAAAAAAAGATGAAGCAGGTGGACAATAGGAACCAGATATTTATTAAATATAATTTCAAAATTACGTCAGACAGATCAGTATGATAGAATAAAGAAGTTCACAGATGGCAACTGACCGGCAACAGAAATCACTTATTGGGCGTGTGGTACATACATGCAGCACATCATGTTCACCCTTCAATCATTTCCGAACATCTGGAGAACAAAGTACACTTGAAAAAAAAAGAATGCCCACCTGTACTTATCATGTAGATACCCTCAACTGTGACTGTTACAACTAAACGCACACACGATGCAGCATCCCATGCTTCTTAATGTTCTTAATGGTATGTTCAGCAACACAAGTTATTTTAATATAAAGGGATGTCTGATGCTTTTAGAGTTGCTGGACTGCTTTAGTATGCACATTTTATGGCATGTAGTTTTTTGATTTCAATGACTAATTTATGGATTTATTTTTACTGAGGATAAAACAACCATCAAGCTACTTTTCTAATATCCCCCACAGTGTATAATCTCTGTTTCGTCATCTCAGAAACAACATTAAGACACTAAAAGTCCAAGCAGTGCACAACAAATAAATGCCAAAGCAAGATAAGAGGACCTGGGTGTGTGAGTATCTGTGTGCATAGATGGGATGGAACTGAAAACTACAACTGGAATGTCAAGCCGTGAACCTGATGGAGGTGGAGAGTTAGCGCCATTTATTTCAGCACAAACTCTGGTGCTTCTCATGCGCTCCCCAAACTGCAATATTTAACTTCCATTCCTGAAAATAATTGAAACTTAACATGCAAATTTTGCTTTAGAAAAATATGAGACAAAGGATGGTTATGTGATTTTTTTCTCCTAATTTGTTATATTTTCTTATTCATGTTTAACTTTAATACCACAACTATTTCTGAACTTCAGTTATTCATTTATTAAGGAAGTACTACATACATGTCAGGTGGATAGAGGGAGGAGGAGGGTGGAGGGGGGTCTGGGTTATGGTGCCCTCTCTCACAGCTTCCACCTCACATTCCCATAATTCAGTGGGAGAGAGGCAAGGAGAGCAACATCATCACAATATTTCACGTTGCCACAACATCATAGCTAGGTGGATGGTTGGAGGTGTGTGTGTGTGTGTGTGTGTGTTTCCAGAGGGCATCCTGAGAGTCCAGAAGGGGAGAGGAAAGACCGAAGGAAGAGAGAGGACGTAGTGTGTGAGTGCCTGCAGCCCGTGAGCTTTCAGTCAAAGGAGATGAGCTGTGCCTCTGCGCTGCCCGGCACAGCCTGAGGGGTCTGCTGCTGTGCCACCTGCTGCTGTTGCTGCTGAGGGGCACCGGGGGGAGCCACCTAGCAAGAAAGGGACGAACAAGTAAAAACAGGACAATTAATAAAGATTTTCAGTTTCTAGTAAAAAACGCAAATGGGTTTTGTATCAGCTTAGTGTAATAATAATTAACAACTGACCTGCTGGTACATGGGCTGCTGGCCTGGCATGTATGGCTGTTGGGGGGGCATATTGGGGTCCTGTCCTGGCAATGCTGAAATCATGTTCTGCATGGTGTATGGCTGGTAGCCCATATAACCCATACCATTCGTGGGTGCAGCCTGGGACATGGGAGGCAGACTCTGGGCCTGAGAGACCACATTCTGCACAGAACCAGGATAAAGATAAGTGAGACAGTTCCATAATATAAAATATTTGGGCAGTACTATAAGTGGTGATCAAGACAGACCTGGTATCCCTGTGTGGGTGTGGGTTGATAGTTGGAGTAGGGTGGACTTGTAGTGGGTGGAGCCTGACCAGGAGGAGGAGCAGGCTGCCCATTCGAGCCCGCAGCCTGGTACATGTACGTGTTAACCATATTTGGATCTGGATGACGAGAGGACAATCAGTCACACACAGGAGAACACTTAAACAAGAATTAAATCAAATACTTAATAACTAAAACATAGGATATATTTTCTTTTTCTGAAGCATCTGTATCCATCTACTTGTTGACCTCCTCACCTGTGGCAGCACTGGGCATTGCCTGATACTGTGGAGGTGCAGTCTGCCCAGGCTGGTTCATATAGATGTTATGCATAGGTGAACCCTCCACAGAACCAGCAGGACTGAAGGTGCCTGGGTAGCTGGGTGGAGCACCGGGCTGGTACACCACCCCTCCTGCCACATTCGGGGGCAGAGACTGCATCTGTGAAACAGCACATGCAGACAGTTTTAGAGTTTTATTTAAATTACAACACCTTAAAGTAAATTCATGTTTACTGCTGATTGAAGTCCAATAGATCATGGTTCATACTGTCCATCTCTCACTATCCAGTGTCTACAGCTTTTGATGTTAGACATTTTTACTGGCCAATTTAAATTATGCACTTTAACACTCTAATAATATACATGAGATGAAATAGGCTGTTTTCCTAAATAGAGACCACTGCTGTAAGAGAGGGTTGGTTAATGTCCAGACTGATAGTATGTAGTAATGATGATGAAGTTCTCTGTGGAAGTGCAGCTGGCGAGATCAGCAGAACCAGTGTTATAGACATAAGTACCTGGGCGTAGGGCAGAGAGAACGCAGGCATCTGGGCTCTCATCTGGATTGTGTGCTTCTGCTGCTCCAGTCGCATCTGCCTCTCCTTTTCCTGCTCCTGGAGGCGCTGGATGGCCAGCTGTCTTTGCATCTCCAGGTACTCCTGCAGTTCATCGACAAAGACCTCTGAGTACGGTCACAGAATAGAGTATCCATCTGTATGTTAATTTGAGAGCATCATTTCTTTACCTGTTTTTTCTGCCTCATTATCTCCAGTTTCTGCGCCAGCTGGATCTGTCTCTGCCTCTCTGCTTCCTCTGCAGCACGACGCAGCTTCTCCCTGTGTTCATCACGAAGGGCGTTGAGAGCTGCCCGGGCGTCGCGCACCTGGGCCAGCTTGTCCTGCAGCCCCTCATAGTACACTGTCAATGTCATAGTTCAGAGGTTAGACACACAGAGAGACAGAAATAGGTGCAAACACACTCATGAAAAGCTAACACTCACATCGTTTCTCATCCAGCTGGTTGAGGATGTCCAGGAGCTGTGGATGCATGTTATTGATGGACTGGAAGAGGGAGAGCACAGCGCTGTCATTGGTGATGCTGCGTCCACGCATGTGGTTGCTTTTCATCCGGTTAAGGAAAGTGGAGACGGCATTCTGCAGAGCCTTCAGAAACTGCTCATGGTTCTCTTCTGACTCCCCATTCTGGTACTGCTGCTGAAAGCAGAGACAAGAGGAAGGCAAAGAGCAGAGAGTCATTTGTGGTTTGCCTTTTTCACTTCAGCTAAATATTAAAATACTGTTTCATCCATCCTCAGCATCATATTTCAATATACCTCCACTATGCTGACTGGCTGGACAGGGACATGAGTTTCTACAGGCTGGGTGATTGCTGGAAGGGGCTCTGCCATTGGCACAGGGGCAGGGGCTGATGGGGTGGGACTTTTGCGAGCCTCTTCATGTTTCTTCTCCCAATATGTTCTGTTCAGGTAACGGGCCAGCTGGAACATTGTGACAGACATATTAGTATTGCCATGATGTAGCATTTCCATGTATCTATAATAACACAGGTTTTGAAGAAGAGAAGGACAACATAGGTACCTCAGGGTCTACCTCATCAGCTGATGGAGCAGAGGAGTTCTAGAGAGAGCACAGTACAGCAGATAATATATTTCATGATAGTAATATAATAAAGTAATACAAATATTTGGCAGCATCAATAATTCATTTAACCAGAAGATAATTCTAACCACAGGGGAAGTGTAGAGGGTGCTGACTGGTGGTGCTGAGGAGGTCACTGGGGTGGGATCAGCTTTGGGATACACCGAGTACGAGTTCTTATGCCTCTGTAAAAACACACATCTATGGGTCAGTTTATCTCTGGAAACCGGCTGTAAAAATACAAAATTAACACTTTAGTGTGCGACCCACCATGCGCTCCTTCTCCTCAGCCTCACTTTGGGACAGGGCAATGGCCAGCTGCAGCTCTTCCTCCTCCTGCAGTGCTGCCTCATCTCTCTTGGGCGGCATCTGGTAAGGGAAGGGAGCAGTGGTAAGACCAAGGGAGAACAAATGAGGACTGCAAAGTAAAAGTACCCAGTTAGTTCCAAAACAATTACCTGTGACTGTTGGGACAGTGGGCTGGTCAGGTACTCAGGAGGCAGTTCAGGAGTACCTGTGGAACCCGGGGCTTTGCCTTCAGCCTTCCTAAGTGGAGGAGAGAGGGAGGGGTGGCTGGTGGGGAAAAGGGGATGAGGGAAGACGGACAACCTTGTTAATCAGAGAAGAGCATTCAACCAAACCAAAAAACAGAACAATACAAGAAAGCAACAGCAGAATGCATACAACTGTTAACACTGAAACATTACCTACATTTTGTATTGCAATAACTTGTGTTTATAAGTTATTAATCTTCATTCAGAATTGACTTTGAGGGTAAAACCGAGTTTTGAAAAATTCAGAAATTATAAAAACATTAAGGCTCTGTGGGATAATTTGTCCTGGACATCATGTCAGTTAGCTCATTACCACTGAGTTATGGCTGCTTGCTCTGTCCATTATTTTACAGTTTGAGCCATATCCAGGAAAGAGGCCATAACATTTTGCAAAGTAGATGAAGCCAAGCAGAGTAGATGAAGCCAAGTTAATCCCAATAGAATAAAAGGGTTATTTAAGTGACACCACAGCATCGTCATGTATAATCAAACAGAACACAACATATCAAAGGACTGTCGTCAGGGTCATCGATAGGTACGATGTACTATGACAGTGCCTCGGCTGAACATAACCTCTTTGATGGAGGTAACAAAAGAATAAACCTGAAGAAACTAATCAAGACAAAGTGAGATTCAAAACATTTAAAACAATTTAGATGAGCAGAGCTTTTCAGGTTTAGTAGATAAACTAATAGTGATCAAGTACAGAAGAAGGACAATCTACCAGTGTGTGTCTTACCTCAAACTAAGCTTCAACAATAACACAACACAACATGAATTTACAAGACCAGAAATGTCCTGCTGCAGCTAACAAAGCTAATGAATCATTTACTTTGCTGGAGATAACATCACTATACTTGTACTTTTCACAGGACTCACTTGTTGAGCAGCTCAAAGCAGGGCTCACAAACACGCACTTCCTTCTCAATGCCAAACTTCGGAATGGTGGAGTACTTAGACGAACACTTGCCACAGAAAATCTGGCCACAGGCTCGACAGTGGTGCTGGAAAAGCACGGGAGATAAACAAAGGTCAACTTCCTCACATGCGCAACTCACACACACACACCTGTAACCGAATGAAGGAAACCATAAAACTGCAAGTGGCCTAGTTATCCTAAAGCCTGGCCTACCTTTCTTGTCATGACTCCAAACTGGACTCTGCAGCGATGGCACTCCTCAGCATCAACCCAGTCTGGGGCCTAGAAAATATCAAATATTACTGATATGATGACTAACCTGTCTGGTGTACATGCACATGCAATATATCTTCTATTCCTGACCAGCATCACATTGTATAGTATTCATCTGATATAAAATTCATGCTGCTTCAGAAAACACTCATTTAACAAACCTGAATCTACCACAGTCAAAATATGAAAAAAAATTAATGTCTCACTCTCTCAGCTGCAAACATTGCATCACTCTCCTTAAACTCAGGGAACACATGGCCTGTTGAGAAAATAAAAACTTGTTAAGCAAACACACCAAATAAAAAAATGGGTTTAACCCTTTCTGAGACCTGTTTGAAACCAGTATGTTTTTTTTAATTTTAATTACTTATTCAAGAAATGAAACTAAAGAATTTCTGATACTTTCTAAGCCCTAATTGGTTGAGTGAATTAAAAGGCTTTTAAAACTTTTAAATAGTTGCAGATACCATGGGAAAATATAGTGAACAGTGACAATAACAGGATCAATTTGTTGGAAATGTAATAAAGTTAATGTACCATTGATTTTTTCTAATATTTAACTGTAGTCAAGACAGGGTCTGAACATATCATCTAGGGCATTAGGTAATGATTAAATAGTATATAAGCATGTTGCCACTTACCTTCCACTTTCATTATCTGATAAGTATCTTGAACCACCTTGTATTTGGGTTCATTGCGGAAGGCGTGAGCCCAGGCCTGGATCAGGTAAAGGATCTTGTTTCTGACATTGGGTTCCGTCTGTTTCTGGTGGAAAAAGAACCACACAGAGTCAAGGAAATGTATCTTTAAAAAAACCTTTAAATCCTTCTTGTTTTTAGGTTCTATCACTCGAATAACACTGATATGACTGAGCAAACTGCGTCAAGCAGCACTGTCTGATGACAAGAGGTCAGGCGGGAAGTCCCTTGCTTTGGTCTGAAAAATCCTCTTGTCACAAGTCAGTGACATCATCAGGAAGAGGAAGTCGGCATTGGCTGCAGGAGCCTGCGTCACATGGTACAGCCAGGATCCAATCAAGTATTGCTTGCTCATGCTGTACTGCAGCCAGCTGCCTGACAGCAGTGAACAGTTATCCAGTCACAAGAGAAGGTGGGAAAGGTGTTGAGAGGTTAAAAGAACTGTATCTAAACTTTCCTCTACTTGTTCCAATAGGGAACTAAGACATAACTGCACAGACATTAACTCACTGAGAGGTACAACTATTAGTACTTAGGTGAGTTAGTTAGTTGAGGATTTGCTGTTTTCCCCTGATAACATCACTGTAAGTCAATCACCTTTGTGTTTTGGACTGTTTATTTAACAACGATTTTTAAGATTGTGACTCTGGACTCTAATATTCATTTTTCTCTTAACATTCAAGTCAATTAATCTGAAAACTACTAATTGGATTAGTTGATAATCATTAATAATGAAACAGCAGCAGTGTGATGCCCAAGACATAAATAAATGCAATGACCTTGAGCAGATCCTTCAGCTCCTCCATAGTTTGTTTACTTGCCACCTCATCATGGACTGTCTGGCCACAGTTCTTCACAACTGACTCAAGCACCTGAGGGGGGAAACCATATCATTTCCTTTACTATGTCATTCACATTTCATGTGTGGCAGTTCTCTCCCAAATATAAACACAGTATTACAACATAAATCTACAGCAGAACTGTGGGTTTTCCTGTTACTTTAGTTTAATTTGTACATGTTCTTTAATTTTCTTTCACCAGCAGTGTAATGTTTTACCTCCAGTCCGTACAGGGCCACATGTGGATTTTTGTCATTCAGCTTCTTCTTGATGGCTCCGATAGCATATTTAGCCCTATAAGGACAAAAACAAATATTGCTTAGTGTCTTTATCTAAAAATATAAAAACACAACTGTCAAATGAACGGCTTTAATATTAATGCTGACAGAGATTAGCAGTCACTCACTGTGTGTCTCCTTGTCGAATGAGATCACAGATCTGCAGGATGGATTCCCAGTCTGTCTCCAGCAGCAGCTGACTGGTGGCTTTATCTGTAATTAGTACAGATGGTGAAAATATATTGTATTAATTACTGTCTGCCTAATGTCTACCACAAATTATTTGCTACACCACAACAACCTGTCATTAAAAACAGCAAAGTTTCTCCATTCCAAAATCAGTCCAAGACACGTTATAGATGTCCTTTATGGAGACCATGTTAATCTGGGCTTTTTATGTTGATGAAATGCTAATCTATTCTCAGTTAATTAGGTACGCCTGACACTTAAACTGAAGCACTGAATACATCCTTCATTAAGGTTATGCTCAGTTTTTATTGAAGTTGCTATAAAGAGCTGTTACTATGTGTTCATTTTAGTGGCTTAAGTTTGTCATGCTGTTTA